TAACCATAATACCCTATCATATATCGCGTTTAAACTGTACTCTCCCTCCTCTGTTTCAGTGCAGGTTTTTTTATAAGTTGTAAATCTAACAGGAGACTGCCCATCTTTCTCCCTCAAAGCAATTGGTAGATTAAAACTGTACCTTTGGGTTGTCAGCTCATCTTCTTACTCACAAAGAGTCCTTGCGTTGATTAGAGTAGTTGTGTTACTTTGCTAGAATGTTAGAGGATGTTTAATTAGAGGAATATTCAGAGTTCATAGGAGCCTTTGGTGGTACAATGATTAATGGCTCAACTATTGATTGTAATATTGGCAATTTGAACCCACCAACTATTCCACTGGAAAATACATTAGTAGTTGCTTCTGTATATGTTACAGTCTTGGAATCTCTATTGGGGTCATTCTTTTTTTAAGAAAAAATTTTTTTATTTTTTTAATTTCAGTGAACATCCACAGAGATGGGGTCATTCTTACAGGGTACTTTTAATTCAGAATTACCCTGACAACCACAGATATATTGAGTTCATTGTTATTGTTAGTGCCATCAAGTCGAGAACAACTCATAGTGACACTATGAACAACAGATCTAAATCCTGTCCTATCCTGTGCCTTCATCACAGTCTCTGATATACCCAAACCTGTTGCTGCAATTACTGTGTCAGTACATCTGTTGAGGGTCTTCCTGTCTTTCTCTGACCCTGTACCTTTCCAAGCATGAAGTCCCTTTCTAAAGAATAGCCTCTCCTAGCAACATGCCCGAAAAATATGAGATGAAGCTTTGTTATTTTTGCCTCCAGGGAGAACTCTGGTTGCACCTTCTCCAAGACAAGTATGTTTGTCTTTTGGCAGTCCAAGGGATATTCAGTATTCTTCTCCAACACCACAGCTCAAAGGCACCAATTCCTCTTCTGTCATCCTTATTCATTGTCCTACTCTCAGATACTCGAGCTCTCAGATGGAGTTCATTAAGACGGAAAAGTCCAGAAAGTTCAGCTGGCTATTTTGAGATCTTTAAGATGTGATGAGGTCTTTTTATCCTCTTTGTTAACTTTTTTTTTTTACCTCTCCCTCATTCTATATTTGTTGATATAAAACACAATACTGTGCCTGCATCTATTTTGTATTTAAGTTGGAACACTGAGGAAATGAAGGAACTAAAAAGGATTGAGGTGGGAAGGGAGAAACTTTTCTGAGTCAGTTGATCAAACTTGGAAGGAAAAACAACAATAACAAAAAAGAAAAAGGAATAAAGAGGTTGCGCATGTGAAGACAATGTTTCTGGAGGCCGACTTAGATATATACAGTAAAGGAGAGAGCAGAAGAGGATCTGTTTATTTCTAGTCTAATTAAAGTAAAACAAAACAAACCATGGTCTCCCTCTTTTACTGCCTTTCTCTATAGAAATTGTTCATCCAGGCGTTCCCCTAGTGACTTCTTTTTTTTTTTTTTAATTTTTTTTATTTTTTTATTTTGTGTGCATGTACCGTCAAATCAGATCTGACTGGTACAGGAGGATATTGCGCCTCCTTCTCCGGCAGAGCATCTGGTGGACCCCTAGTGACTTCTTATTGTTAGGGGCCATCAAGTTGGCTGCAACTCAGTAGCCCTAAATACAGCACGTACAGCTGAACAAAACACTGCATGCTCATGTGTGTTACCCTCACAGTCTGCCATGCATCTGTCCATTGTTGAGGCCACTTTGTCAGTTCATTTTGTTGAGGGTTTTCCTGTTTTTTACAGACCTTCCCCTTTTCTTTGTATGATGACCTTCTCCAGGGACCAGGCCCTCTGATAACATGCCAGAGTATTTTAAATGAAGTTTTCCCCTTCAAAGACTATTATTCCAAGACAAACTTGTTTTTTCTTTTGGCAGGCCATGGTATATTCCATAATCTTTGCCAATACCACAATTAAAACATATGCACTATTCTTTTTTCTTCCTTATTTTTTGTCCAATGGTCATATGTGTAGATGACGACTGAAAATACTGTCTCTGGAGTCAGGCACACCTTAGTCCTTCGCTCTTTAACATTTTGACGAGGTCTTTTACAGTCTTTTTTCCCCAAAGCGCCAGAGTTTCTCCTGCACCAGTCAGTTTTATTGACAGTGTGACACTCACCTCATAATTCATTATTTGCCCAAATGAAACGGGACAGTCAGGATTCAAATCCCTTCTCAGTGCCATGGTACCCCATTCACAATACAAACCAAGCACAAAGCCTGGGCTGAGGTGCACATGGTGTATTTTACTCCGCCTCCCCTGGCAGGAACACAGCGTGTGATAAGCATTAGGAGGCCCAGAGTTTAACGTCTTGACTTCTGCTTCCATGGGTGTCGGTTATGGATCCCAGTGAAATGAAATCTTTGACAATTTCATTTTATCATGATGTTGCTTTTTGGTCCAATTGTAAGAGTTTTTATTTTCTTGGTGTTGAGCTGTAATTCATATGGAAAACTTTATTCATGGATCTTCAGTATCTCTTTGGTCTGAAAGTACTGAAAGAAAGTCCAGGAGGACAGGATACATTTGAGAGAGCTGCTGGACCTCCTTATGGGCATATTGTCAGGAAGGGCCCAGTCTCTGGAGAAAGAGAACATGTTTGTGAGGCTGTCACTGAGGAAGAAGACCTGAAGACCTTCAGTGAGATGGATTGACACAGTGGCTCCAGCCTTCAGCACAGCAGAGATTATGAGAATTGTGCAAGAACAGGTGGGGCTTTGTTCTGTTGTCCACAGGGTCTGAGCCCACTGACACATCTAAGAGCAGTAATAATAATAATAATAATTCTTAATAGCTTTGAAAAATTTTTGAAAACTTTTTCCCCCTGTAAGTTTGAAGGGGTAAGTGTGTGGTCTAGCATAAGTAAGTTCTTTACCTTGGAATGTAATTTAGCGGATTTGAGATGAGCACGGACCTGGGGTTGCTACGTCAGAGCCTGCTCATGGGGACCTTGGGAGTAGAGGTGAATTCTGTAGGACTCTTTTGGCTGTGATTTTTATGGAAGCTGTTTCAGGGCAGATTTGAACTACCACCCTATTTGTTAGTAGTCAAGCATAAACCATGTTTGCCAACCCATCATACTAAAATGGATTGTTTGTTTGCCATTTCCTCCTTCATCTTGGACTTTTAGTCTCTTTACAATGTTGATTTTGTTCTGTTTAAAGACTATTTATGTTAAGTTGTATTTATGAGAAAATCTAATGTTTCTAGTTAGTTGACAAAAACTGGATTAGTGCTTTTCCTTAGAAAGTTTGTGCTTTATGTTTTGCAGTCTTAGTTGAAAGTCTTTATCAAAAAATATTTTACTTTTTCAGATGAAACTACTGCTGTTAAAAAAATTAACTAGCTTTTTAAAGAAAGAAGTTATACCCATTGTGAATGCAAACAGTATGGATGTATGGCAGTACAACTGTGGTGGAGCTGGGATATATGTTCCCTTAGAGATGCAGTGAGAGTTCTAAGTTGCATTCCCAGTAGGAATTTCCCAAAAGAACCTGCCTTACCAGAAACTTGGTCAGCTTTGCTCTGTTTCACAGTGATTAAAGAAAAACCTGCACTAGTCCTAGGTTTGGTACAAATTATGTGCAGCCTCTTTTGGAATTTGATCATTGCCTAGAAGACAAGGAGGATATTGTTGTTGTTATGTGTCATTTAAGTCCCCTGCAACCCATAGTGACTCTGTGTGTAGCAGCTCTGAAGCCTGCCCTGTCTTGAGCCTGTCTCATTAATTCCTCTTGCTCCAGTTACTGTGTACTAGCAGCAGCAAAACGATCAGGTTGAAAAAGCATTGTTAAATTAAGATTAAATCCAAGTCAGCAAATATTTATCGAGTGCCCTTATGTGCTAGCTATGTAAATAAATCTTAGAGCCATTGAATTGGAACTGACTCATAGCTGACCCTCCACCAGATTTCCAGAGACTGTAATTGCATAGGATGAGTGTCCATCCTTCTGCTCTGGAGAAGCTAGTGGATTTGAACTATGTGCCTTTGTGAGTTGCAAGTGCAACTCCTTACCCACCAGTCCATCAGAACTCCCTAGCTATGGGTCTAGCCATGAATAAAACAATAATCTCTACTTTAGGTAGTTTTATTTTAATGTCATAGATTCTGGAGTGTCTCTTTATCACTGTTAATGTTAGAAAAATGAAAACTTTCTCCCATTAAACAAAAACTTAGCAAGAAGTTAAATGTATTTCAAGTCCAAAAGTGTTCTTTCGCAGAGGACTAAAATGAATATTAAAAGAGTATTTAACTTTTCATTTATTTCCTGCCAGGACCTCTTCACTATTCAAGGAATACACTTAATGGAGATTTGGCATCAGCATCCATTCCTGAAGAACACAGATACATGGCCAAAAAGAAATCGGAATCGGAAGATCTTCTTCCGTCGTTCTCTTCCTGAGGAAACGGAAGTGTCTAACTTTCTCTAAGTATTGCTATGCAAAAGCTGCTGTAAATTAAACTTGTTATAGGGAGTAGTTTTTCCCTTTATTAGGATTTCTCTGCACTTTATAGAACATTGTATAAGACGAAAAACAGCCCACATACTTTTGAACTGTATTTTATCTTTATATAGTTTATTTGCAAGAGTATTTTCCTAATACTTCACAGTACGAATGTGCATCCTTTCTTTTCTTTTTTTTAAATAAACAAACAGCAAATGATAGTGTACCATTTTGACATCCATAAGGACAAATGTAGATATTTTTCTAAAAAAAAAAGAAAAAAACCAAAAACCAAACTGTGAGAGACTGACAGTGTAGTTACTATACAACGTAGCATATACACATGAAATCTTATCAATATAAGGTTGCGTTTGAGAGAAGCATAATATATATAACTGGTGCCAGCAACCAAATGGTCATTTTATCCCAGCTGAAAATGAGTTATGATAGCATCTTAATGGTTATTGTATTCTTTTAAGCCAAAAGGAAACACTTAACAGTCTAAGTATTTTCAGCCCAAATGCATTGAGGATTTTTTAAAACATAAACTATGCTGTCCTTCATATGTGAAGTTGACACTACTGATTTGTCAATACCAAATGTTGGATTAAAGTATTTAATTTCTATTTATTTATTTTTCTGTTGCATAAAAAAAGGAATTCTAACTTTTGTGACCAACCAAATTTAAGATGTGTACACCTTGTTATTTACATTGTTCTAGACAAGAAGTTTAATGTTGTGGTGACCTTGTTCACTTACACCAGAAGAAATAAATGACTTTGAATGGAGGAGAATTTTAGTGACTTTCTTTTTCTAAAATAGATGTTAAGCTGCTATTGTAAGGTCTTAATATTTAAAATACCTGATCTATTTTTATTTATGAAAATTTACATAAAAAAGGAATTCTGTCAAAGTAAACTGTTCTACATAAATTTAGAATGGTATTTAATAAAAGGAAAAAAAAAGTAGTTTTTTATTAGTCCCTGCCTGTAGCTGTTGCCAGGGTTTGCTTTGTAAAGGGTGTTTTAAATTCATTTTTAGATAATTTCTTTTAAAAATTGTGATTTGAGTAAAAGTTTGCAAAGAAAATTGGTTTTCATTCATGCATATTGTTGTTACTAGGTGCCATTGAAATTAAGATTTGTAGTGACCCTGTGAACAACAGATCTGAACCTTGCCCCATCCTGTATCATCCTTCCAGTTTCCGGTATGCGCAAGCCCAGCTGTAGTCACTGTGTCAGCCCACTTTCCCAGAATGGTATCTTTTCCAAGGACTAGGCCCCCTCCAACAACATACCAAGAGTGTGAGGTGAATGCAACTGAAAGTTGAATAGAATGACAGAAAAAGAATGAATGTCTTTGAGTTGTGGTGTTGGACAGAAATACTGAATATTCCATAGATTGCCAAAAGAACAAATAAGTCTGTTTTAGAGGAAGTGGAACCAGGATGCTGCTTAAAGACAAGGATGGTAAAATTTTGTCTCACATTCATGCATATTTTTTTAATAACATTAATTACGCTGCTCTATGTGGCATCAGGATTGGAGGAAGACTCAACAGCCTGAGTTATGCAGATGACACAACCTTGCTTGGTGAAACTGAGGAGGACCTGAAACACTTGCGGCAGGTCAAAAGCTGCAGCCTTCAATATGGATTGAAGCTCAACATCAAGAAAATGCAGATTCTCACCACTGGGCCAATTGGCAGCATCATCATAGATGGTGAAGAGATTGAGATTATAAACAACTTTAGTTTGCTTGGCTTCACAATCAACACTCTTGCTACCAGCAGCCAAGAAATCAAAAGATGAATTGCACTGGGAAAGCCTGCTGTCAAAGACCTCTCCAGAGTACTGAAGAGCAATGATGTTAGTCTATAGACTAAGGTGCACCTGAGACAGGTCATGGTCTTCACTATTATGTGCTATGGTTAGAAAGCTGGACAATGATGGGATGATAGAAGGAGATTTGATGCCTTTGAGCTGTGGTGCTGGAAAGAATATTAAATATACCATGCATTGCTAAGAGAACAAAAAGGTTTATCCTGGAGAGAATGAAACCAGGCTGTTCCTTGGAAGCAAGGATTCTGAAGCTCCATCTGACATACTTTGGGCATGTTGCAAGGAACGACCAGTCTTTAGGGATGTTATGCTTGGGAGGGTGGAGGGACAGTGTAAGAGAGGAAGACCTTCAATGAGGTGGATTGACTCAGTGACTGGGGTTAAGGGTGTAGGTGTATCAGAGACAATAAGTTTGGCTCAGGACAGAGCAGAGTTCAGAGCTGTTGTACATAGGGTTGCTGAATCACAAGCAACTTGATGGCACATAAAAACAACAATGTAATTACACATTTCCCAGTCTTCCCTCTAATTCTCATTTCTATCAATCAACATTCTTGGCACCAACAGTCAGGAAGTCAAAAGATGACTTGCACTGGGAAAATCTACAGTCAGAGACCTCTCCAGAAAATTGAGAAGTAGGTAGTAAGTAGAGGTGAGGTAGATTAATGGAAGACTCATCAACAACTTGCGTCATGCAGATGACACAACCTTACTTGAAGAGGATCTGAAATGCTTGCAGAGGATCAAAGACTATAGCCTTCACTGTGATTATATCAGTATAAAAAAACAACAACAAAGGTCCTTACCACTGGACAAATAGGCAACATCATGATAGATGGAGAAAAGATTGAAACTGTCGATGATTTCATCTTACTTAGATTCACAGTCAACACCCTTTGTACCAGCAGTCAGATCAGGAAATGTATTGCATTGGGAAAGTCTGCTGTCAGGAACCTCTCCAAAATACTGGAGAGCAATGATGTCATCTTGAAGACTAAGGTGCACTTGATTTCAGGCCATGGTATTTTCAATTACTTGCTCTGCTTCTGAGAACTGAAGAATGAGTAAATAAGACAGAAGAGTAATTGTGGCCTTTGAGGTGTGATGTTGGAGAACAGTACTGAATATCCCATGGAGTGCCAAAAGAACAAACATATGTATTAAAAAAGGTACAACCAGAGTACTCTTTGGAAGCTTCATCTCTCATACTTTGAATATAGCGCTTGGAGAGCCTTTTCCTTGGAAAAGGAAATCATCCTTGGGAATGTGGAGTTGGTGAAATAGAGGAAAGGAAGACCCCCTACAAGACGGATTGATACAATGACTGTAATGGGCTGACGTATGTCAAAGATGATGAGGATGGCACAGGACAGGACAGGATTCAGGTCTGTTCTTTGTAGGGTGGTGTGGAGTTAAGGGTTTATTGTCCAAAATGGCTTCCTATCCATTAACTTACTTTACCATGTGGATGAGCAGGAATATGTGGATAGAGGGTGCTGTCTTACCCTCAAAAGAATTGGCAAGTTTCACTAATTCACAAGGGGATTGGCTAGTTTTACCATTAAATTGAGTAGATCCAGCAGCAGGAGGAGAGAATGTTGCCACCAGCAAAGGAGAAGCAGGCATACAGAACATGCCCTTCAGGACCAGAAATTCTTGAGGCAGCTAGACTTGTGCCAGCAGCAGTAGCAGTAGCCAAAGTGGAGGCCCAAAGACCCAACATGATACAGAGCTGACCTTGGGACTGTTACTCTTCCATGGAACCAGAACTAATAGCCTTTGACCAAGTTTGTTGGCCAACTGGGGGTGGGGGAAGGGTGTGAGAGAGTAGAGCGGTAATTGGCAGAACTGAGAACTTTGAGCACTCACCTAAAGTTATGAGGCTCAAGGCTGAGGCATCAGCGGGCACATTTTGGAAGGTGACCTTACTGTATTCTGCTATTAATCTGGATTATAGCCCTTAGACTTCCCCAAAATTCTGTGTAGTCAGTGATGTAATATCAGATTTTGGACCCAGTAAAGCAGTAAGATTGGTGTTGAGGTGAGTAGAAAGAGATATGGGCATGTGGGGGACATGTTTGACCTCCTAGGAATTGGTTTTGTGTTGATGCTATTGACAGGGACCATTCCTCTTTGGGGAACTGGTAAAGGTCAGATATGGCCATCCCCAAGTGACCTTTGCTCTTTTTACAGATTGCTACTCAACTGTACTTGACTTGATGGCATCTAAAAACAGTGACAGTGTTGCCATTGATTTTAAAAATGTTGTTGTTATGTGCCTTCGAGTCACTTGCAACTCATAGTGACCCTATGTACAACAGCCCTAAACTCAGGTCTGCCCTGTGCCAATCACACCATCTCCGATACACCCATCCCAATTACCTAGTCACTGAATCAATCCACCTCATAGAGGGCCTTCCCCTCCTGCGCTGTCCCTCCCATCCTCCCAAGCATGATGTCCCTCTCCAAGGACTGCTTTCTCCTTACAACATGTCCAAAGTATGTCAGATGGAGCCTCAGAATCCTTGCCTCCAAGGATCTGCCCAGGTTGACCCTCCCCAGGATGAATCTGTTTGTTTTCCTAGCAGTCCATGGTACCCTCAATACTCTTCTCCAGCACCACAGATCAAAGACATCAATTCTTCTTCTATCCTCCTTAGTCATTGTCCAACTCTCTGATGTATAAAAAGTGATTGCAAAGACCATGGCCTGTATCAGATGCACCTTAGTCTCCAGAGAGACACCATTGCTCTTCAGCACTTTGGAGAGGTCCCTAACAGCAGAC